TTCGAATAGCAAAGAAAGGCAAAGACAAAAGTTTTTTATTTAATTTATTGAAATTTGGCTGACCATACAACGCTGTTTCGAGTATTGCCAAGTACTCTTCATCAGTGGTCTTTGGAAATAATCGAATTTTTATTTAATTAGTTTATAGTCCGTATATAATTTGTTTGGACTGCAAGTGCCAGGCTTAGAACTCGTGCCTGTCAAATTAGAAGCGATGACTAATCGTCTTTATCCACAAGAAGCCAAGGCTGCACAAACATTCAATGCTCAAGTTCCAGGTTTTATTGACACTTATTTTTATTTAATTAGTGACACCAACCAAAGCACTTGCCGTGCTTTAAATTAGAACGAGCTTATAAACTACAGCTTTATTTGGAAACACAAGTTCAACAATTTGAAAGTTAATCTTTGAGCTTGCCTATTTTTGTTTCAAAGCTATTCTTTTTGTAGAGACATCTGATATGCATATTTTTTTAACTTACTATATGTAAAGCGCCTTTTTTGGGTGCAATTTTACAAAGAAGCTATGCAAATGTTTCTCTACAAGTTCGCTAATCGCGTTAAGGAAAAGCTGAACAATATTATTGTTCATATTTCCTATAATTCTAATTTTTAAGGTAAATTTTTTTTCTTTTTTTTGCCGATAATGGCGTGTCTTTTTATGACGAAAGAAACTATTTAAAAGTTAGACCGATTCGAATAGCAAAGAAAGGCAAAGACAAAAATTTTTTATTTAATTTATTGAAATTTGGCTGAACATACAAATGGATATAAAATGTTTAAAGTGAATTTCTCACATATTGATATAGCAATGCTTGGGAAGGCAAAAATATATTAAAGAAGTCTAAATCTTTGATAACGTTTGATAATGATAAAAAATCAATAAACAATTTTCTAAATTAAATTTTTTTCAGTAACTTATTTATTGGAAATATATCAGTTGCAATAAAAACAAAATAATACATTTATATTCAAACTAATTTATTATGGAATGTAAAATTCCTGTTAATACCATTTTATTACATTTGCAACTTTAAACGATGTTTTAATTTGTTGTAATAAAACATTCCAGCTTTTTTCTGACACTTTTATATTCACGGATTAGTTACTTTTCGCATACATATTATATCAGATATACATGCATACATTTGTTGAAATGAATATAAAAAGTAAGTCCCGCAATAAGCTGATTTAATAGTTGTTCATTTTATTTCTAAACCAACGATGGGTTTACAAAGATTTAACTTCAATTTTTTAGAAAATTTTAAATTATATGTGGACTCATGGCGTACGATATTACGCTCTGTAAAGTATGGTACAAAGTTTTTAAATAATATATGAAATATGCATTCACATATAGGAAACACGTTTCTTATGCATCAAATATTTTTTAAATCATTTCTGCAAGGATTACAAATTCTACGTGCCAGAAGGGTATTACCATTAAATTTAAAAAAAAATAAACGAATAACTCGATGACACTTTTCAAAAACCATAAAACGAAATATAACATCGTGTGCTAAAGTTTCACGGTGTGCTAGAGCCGTAAAAGACATAGAAGACGTAGAAAATTCAGAATAATTTAATATCGCACTATAAGTAGTAAGCGAATTGAGGTATTTTCCATCTTTCTGCATAAGTATCTCATATAGGAAAGATTGAATTTGACATGATACCAAAAATTTTAAAATATCCACTTATGTTATTATGTACAGTTATTGTTTTATATTTTTTATCGTGTATTGTCCATAAAATAGCAATGACTGATTATTTAATAGAACACATTTAAATAGATCTGGAAACCACAAAAACAATCAAATACATTTTAAAAACTATGTATACAGAATTTATCACCTCTGCAATATTTTGACAAAAGATAAAGGATAAGGATGTCCTAACACGTATTGGACATAAAATGGAAGAAACTAGTATCACCTAGCCGTATGCTAGGAATATATTAGTTCT